CCAGAGGTTTCTGCCATCCATAGGAAGCCTTTCCTTGTCTTCAGTTAATCCTCGATCTGGCCTGTGTTTCATGGTGATCCTCAAAGTGTTGGCATGTGTGACTGACAGTTAAATCTTCCAGAATGTTCAGCTACTACCCAATCCTGCTGGTGAAGTGGCTGGTTACTAAACGCTGAAAAAGATACAGCCAAGTCAGCTCACTAAGGACAGAAAGCCAAACTTGCAGGAAAAAAACAGGGAAATGAATTATAGGGTCAAAACAGGCAGCAACAATAAGCAATCAGTCTTTCTGTACTCAATCCTGAGTACATTTGCTCAAAAAAAAAAAAATCTCCCCACAGTCATTATGAAGTGGATTACAGATTATGGTATTTAATGGGAATGCTGGGCTATCATGAGGACTGAAGGTTATAATATTTACCTTAGGTACTGAACTGTTTTGAGGACTCGTTAGTAAGGGTTCTTCGTGATGCAGAGATGTCTGGCTAACACCTGCCCCAAGCTTGGAAGAAACACTGTGCCAAGTTTTGTTAGTAACAAAAAAGTAAAGCAATCATCGTGGAAACATGAAAATTGATATGAGAGTATTTAATGGCTACTTCAAAGCTACTGATTCTCTTGTGTAAACCTTTATTTAGAAAATGTTTAGGGTAGACATTATTTACTCAATAGTGCAGTCCATTGTGATCCATCATACCTGTAAGTATTTAAGCTCCAGGTTTTTTTAATGCATTTTTGACCCAATAGACTGTGACAGCTATAAAACCCTATTATGGTCTCTCATGCCAAGTATTGGAAGGGATGTTTGGAGTAAATATGCCTTTTTTAAAAGTCACTATAACTTGCTCAGGAAAAAGCTTATGGTAGTGGGCTGGAGCAATTCTTTCACTTCAGAAACAGCTTCTGGAACTGTTACTGATTTCATCACTGTATGTTCCTCCTTCATAATTTGTGTATTCAGGCTGTAAAGTGGTATAAAAGCATGGATTCTGAAGCAATTTCTCAGTCTCTCTGCTTCTTGAATATATATCTTGATGAGTAATATTTAGCAGACTTGTGTTAGCATGTGTAGGGACTGAGATGCAAAAAGAATGTTTTGTTTAAGTGCCTTTAAAATACGTTGTCTTTTAAAGAACTATAGCCTGAACCCCCAGCCCCAAAGGCAACAAGGTTGAAATGCTTTAACCTGTTAACAGAATGTGTATCCAGACTTTTAGGTAAAAAGGCTTTCACCCTCCCTCGAGTGGCAGTGTCTGCACTTCCACTGCTGAGGCACAGGGTATGGATGTGAGTTCCAGCCCGTGTGGCCTCATATATCCTCCTTGCTCCCCATAATACATCCATCAGGCAGCAATATGGTGTAGCTTTAAACCTTTCTGGAGAGTGCCATTTCTTCCTTGCAGTGTGTAGGACAGATGCTTCTGTGTTGTGCTGTGCCAGAGCATCCTGCAGCAGCTCTACCTGTTCTGCCTGAAGAAGCCTAAGCACGTAGTAAGAGCTGATGGCACAGGTTTGAATGAGCAAAGATGGATTCAGAAAGGGAACAAACACATCTCAAGAAATTCCTTGGTGACTTCCTCTCTGCCTCCCTCTCTAGTAGCTTTTAACAGAACACTAATGGGTGCAAAAATCCATCAAATAACACTCTCCCCCTACTTCCATTTTCAAGGATGCCTCCCCAATCCTCTTGCAGTAATGAGAGGATGACTTGGAGAAGAGTGGGAAAGAGGGAGGAGGCATCTGAAAGTCTTCACATGCCCCTCAGCACAGGCAGGTGGGGAAGGGCTCAGGCAGCCTGTGGCCCCTGGCTGAGCACATCATCCCTTCCTGCAGCAGAGGATGAGCCTGCAGCACCCGTGGGTGCCTGCCCCGGTGGAGGTGGAGCAGCCCTCTGGCAACACCAACAGCAGGGACCTGCTTGATGATGATCTGGTTAGTGCTGGCAGGTAGGAATGGGGGCTGAGAGGAATGAAGATGACAGAGAATCCCCAAATCTGAGGTACAGGGGTGGGAGATAGATTGAAGGAACTGCTTATTGTGTTGGCATAGGGCAGCAGAGGGGTCAGGATTTCTGCTTTTGTGTTTCTCCCTTTGCCTTCTCCTCTCCTCCCTTTGATGGCTTTGTGATCAGCTGGTGGAAGAAAGAAGGAGGAAGGAGGGGTTTGGATGGAGCAGCTTACACTACTACTGCTTCTGCTGGGACCAGCTCCGGTCCCTCAGACTCTTTTGTCCTCAGGTAAGGAACAACAATGAAAGAAGGTTGTAGACAGGTGGGGGTCAGTCTTTTCTCACAGGTAACAAGTGATAGGACAAGAGAAAATCAACTCAAGTTTTGCCAGGGGAGATTTAGATTGGATATGATGAAAAATCTTTTCACTGAAAGAGTTGTCAAGCTGCCCAGGGAAGTGGTGGAGTCACCATCTGTGAAAGTGTTCAAAAAATGTTTAGATGTGTCGCTTAGGGACATGGTTTAGTGGTGGACCTGGCAGTGTTAGATTAGTGGTTGGACTCGATGATCTTAGAGGTCTTCTCCAAAATTAATGATTCTATGATTCTATGTGGCTTTTAGTTCCTGTGTTTGGAGAAAGATTTGGCCATGTGTCCTTCAAGTCCTTTATTTTCAAGGACTTCCCACGGCTGAGTCAGGAAGCTCCACCATTCTCTCCTCTGGAGATTTGTGCCCTGGCCCAGGACTCAGCCATGCTCAAAGGATTCACTTGGAAAGTGCTCAAATAAGTGAACCAAGAAAACGATGTAACATCAACCAATTGCACATAAATGTGAATCAATCACTTATAATTTTGTTTATGAAACTGAAAATGTCAAATGCTCATCTCGAGGAGGCCATTTGGCACTGTTGCTCTCTGTGTGATGCATTTTGATAATGAGGATGTCTGAAAACAAACTGCATTGATTTAAAATAATAATGGAAAACATTTTAATATGTTCTTGAACATGGTGATTAGTGCTACAAAGGTCTTCCCTGCAAAAATGAGTTTGTTTGAACTGGTCTTAGTTATTCAGGGCTTGTCCTTTGTGTTGGGAAACTAGTGGAAAAAACTATAAATCAATAGAAATATATATTACAGATTTTGCTGTGTATTGCTCCTTTTATAACTCTCACAGTGTTTCTAATTATACTTAACTGTTAGTATCTGGTGTATTGGTTTAAAATGGGAACTACTTAATTCACTAAATGTGAGTGGTAGATCTTTCACTGCTCATTCCCCAAGGTCAGTAAGGGACTCCCAAGTGTGGTAAAGCTGTTAAGTATAAAGTGGATTAGAGAATTTACACATTCTTACAAATCTCAGTGACCAGACTTTAAATTGCTTGGTTTAATTCATTAAATGGACTTTGTAAAACAATCAACAAATACATCCGTTTGCAGCTTTAGAATCAAATATAGAATGAGTGGAATTGCATATGCTACTTTAAAATGATGCTTCTGCTTTCCATTTGAATTTTGCAAGCCCCTGTAGATAAAAAATAGTATTGAAATATTAGTTAACACACTGATCCTGCAAACCCTTATTCATATGAGTGATTTCATTCATGACAACAGTTCTTTTAGTTTCTGTGAGAACTAAAATAAAATAAAATTAAACATATCTATGAATGTTTATTGTACCATCAGACACAATTAATGAATTGTTAAAAAATGAATGGCATTAGGTGTTCACTATCCTGGCAGTGTTGTCAAGTTTTTTATAGAGTTGATTGGGATGTAGATAACCCATAGCTACACAGATCAGAAACCTGTGTATTCATCTCTCTCACCTCTGGATGTATGAACTTGGTAATAAACTGTGAAGGAGACCTTTGTGGGGGAAAAAAAGGCCTCCTCAACATTTTGGCTGCCTTAGCTAGTTCCTTTCAGCTTATTTTCTGAAGATATCAGAAAGGCTGGCTTGTTTATTAGATAGTGTTTCCATTTGAGTTACTGCCATACTGGGGATGACGTCAGAATATTTGTAGCACAGGGGCAGCATTTTAAACAAATTTTTACAGAGGAGATTATGCTCTCAGAAAATCACACTGCAATCAAACACTTCAGCAACCTAAAGCTAAAATGGAAAACAGCAAGAAAGTGAGCATTTACAACTTTTTTAAAAGCATTACCTTTTTTTTTTTTTTTGGTAAATCACTTTTCACCTGTGATCCTCCTTTCACAATAGAACATGCCAAGAATGTTGACTGTGTGTCTATTCATAAGATGCTGATGTTGTGCTAATGGCTGTTTATAATCACTGTTAGCAGTGACTGCAGGCTGTACAAAATTTACTTTAGCATTTCTAGTCAGCATTTTCCCTGTGAATGATGAGATCTGAGGTTTCTGGAGTAAAATCCTGGCCCTCTTAAAGTCAAAGGGAGACCTCCATTAGTTACCATAGGTCAAGGCTTAGCTGCTGAGGGTCTTCTGGATGAATGCATCTCATTTAACAAGCCATGTGGCACAGGGACTTAGCTACATTGCTTGCACATACTGGCAGCTGCAAATATTCTGCTCTTATTTGAATGAGATGCAATATATTTATAATTGATTTAATTTATTTTTAAATTATAAAGAGAGGGGAAAGGGGAAGGACAGCACTAGAATTCAGCTCTCCTATTTGGGTACAACATGAACAGGTGATCTGCTTTTGCATTCATAGAATCACAGAATCATAGAATGGTTTGGGTTGGAAGGGACCCTAAAGATCATAATTATTTACCTCCAGGGTTCAGGGATCTCTTACCACCACAGCCTAGTCTTGTATTGCTGTCTTCTGAAAGTTCAGATGCTAAGTTGCAGGGACTGAGTTTCTTAGCACTAACAAAACAATGATGGGGAGCTGTTACTTGGCCATTGATTCATGTTCTACAGCCACAATGGTCTTCTTGGTAGAGTCTTGCAGTTTATTGAAATGAAGGATCCATATGCCACAGTTGGATGTAGGAGTTTGAGTCTAGTCTTGCTAATTTGAATTCCTAAGTAGGGCCTAGCCTTTTCCAAGCAGGAAAAAGGGGGAAAGCTGTAAACAGGTTTGTCTTCCAATAAGTTTTAAGGGGGGAGAAGCTGAAATGTAATGTATTTACATTCAGCAAAAATAACTTTCTGTGCAGAAAATATGGATTTATTATTACGTGATTTAAAGGACTAACAAATGAAAGCTCCCAACTCGCACATCTTTAGAACTACACATGAATTCCTTGCTAGTGGGATGCAGGGGTGCCTCTATCTGAGAGCAGACAGGCAGTGGGTTGAATCACTCTTGACTGGCAATTTCATGGTCCTTTGAGGGCCTCTTGAGAGAGGAGGGTCATCCTGCTCAGCCCTGGGCCGTGGTCCCAGCACACAGGAAGATCTTCCTTGGGAAGACTTACCTCCCTGTCACCCAAAGGGGTCCCTGTGGTCTAGCAGGTCTGTGGGAACTGGGCTGTGTTGTGACAGAGCTTGCTGGTACCACAACTGGTGACATCAGTCCCCTCTCCAATACAAAAAACAGAGCAGGGAGCAGCCTTGTCCCTTTTGCTGGCATCTCTGTTGAGAAAGGCCTTTCTTACAGAGGCTTTCTTACCCAACTCAGTTACAGTTTGCCTTCTCCGAATGGAGGGCAAGTGTTTATTACCCAAGGGCAACTTTGATACCATTAACCTGGTCCAACCTGGCACCTGAGGAACCCTTCTGCGGGTTAATTTGCATGTGCCCTGCTAAATTGAATATTTAATCTAAAAATTTTTTAGGTTATATTCATGTGAACTAATGTGCAGAGTTTAATGGCAAATAACACAGTCAGTGAAGGCCTACTTATAATAATTTATTATTGGCTTTTGTGTGTGTTGGTTTTTTTCTTTTCTTTTTAAAGAACTGCAGAGATTGTCCTGGGACTCCTCTTGACCCTGTCACTTAAGAGGGTAATGGTGACTTCTGCTTTGCCCAGCAACAGCACTGGTGGTGGGAAGGTGAAAGTATCCTTGAAGCATGGCACAGAATCTCTGTTTGGTAGATAATTGCTGCATTTAGAGAGGGTACAGAATTAATGGTGTGGTGTCCTTCTGGCAAAAATATTGCTAGTATTAGAGAAGTGGTGCTAATAGCTCAGAAAGCCTCAGCAAATGGAGAAGTTTGCATAATTGCACAAATTTGGTGAGTGTAAAAGCCATGTAAAAGTAATGATTTCCGATGGTAGTAAATCAAATGGCAAGTCTTCCAGTTCATAAAGGATTTGTTTATGCAAATTCTGGAGTTTACTAAGTGCTCTGGGACAAAATTTTCTTTTGCCTGCAGTTACCAGTTCGTGCTTTGAGGCAGGATGACCAGCTGTTGCCCATACCTCATATCATATGGTGAAAATCAGAGTGGTCTGCAGCCTAGGCTGATGATATCTTAATCTGGAGGATTGGTCAGGAAAGTGGTTACCTCCTTCCTCTCGTGTGAATTTTGGGCACTTTTTCCAAAGGTTAATAAACAGAAGACTTCTCTTTTCCATTTCACTACCAGAGCAGTTCCCAGATTGCTTTTGTCATTTTTTAAGACATACAGTTGTTGAATTTCTTGTCATTTTTCTCCTGTGATGATTTCCTTTTTTTACTATTGCCTTCCAAATAACTCATGTGTGAGGCAAGCAGGAAAAGCATTTCTGTGTCCTGACTGTTTCTTCTATTACCTACAAGGGGGTATAAAGAGGTTTCTTGTAGTCTTCTGAGGTCAGTCTTAATTTTGTCATTCTTGCTCATTGACAAAAAGGAAATACCCTTTCCATTTTCTGCTCAAAGGAATTTAACATCTGGAGCTGAGTGATGCCAGCAGACACCCTCTTGTAGGTAAAAAGCCTGAGAGAGCATAGATATTTAACCAGGAGGGTGGATGGAGACCTGCTAGAGCACGTTTGAGAGCATGTAGCTTGATTCTGTCAGCCTCAGAGACTGAGAAGGTCTTTCTGAATATGTTGAGTCTTAGTCTCAACCATCTGGAAAAGCCATTTTTGTTATGCAAAGCTCTCCATAATTAGAAGTACCTGTTTGGTTTGAACATCTCTGTTGTGTTAGTGCATTGCAGTAGCTGGGCTGCATTAATTGTAGCAAAGCTGCATCCCACAGACATTCTCAGAGGATAAAGAGGTGCAGTTATGCTGGTTTACCCCACAGTCATACTCATATCTAGTTTTTTTGCTTGTACAAAGCTGAGTTGTTGGAGGGAAGGAGGTCTTAGTGTTGATTTGGTTAGCCCTTTGGGAATATGGCCACATTCCTAGCTGGAGAGTCAATAGTATGATAGAATTTAGCATCAGTTGGTTTGAAGCTGGTATGTGATCTGTACAGAGTGTGGAAAGGATTTCTAGTGAGCATTTCTTGCCATTCTTTCTCTTGCCCTCTTGTTGCTCCCCATAAAGCTTGGAGCAAGCTCTTGCTGGACCACATGAATGAAGCAAGTTTATTTATGGCTGCTTCCTGAATTTCACTGGTTTTACGGCTTCTGTGGAGCTGTTCCTGAGAACTAAGCATCTCTCAAATAGTAACTTGATTGACAATAAGTAGATGGGATATTACTCTCCTTGACATCTGCTACAGTTTCAGGGTGTGTATAGCAATTGATGGGGCAAAAAAGTCCTCTTGCAGAAGGACATATCATTCCACTGTCTTTCTTTTGGTGAAGAGCAATCCCTCCTGGAACACATCAAGACTGATAGATGGCTGCAACTAAAAGCCACACTAGGGTGGACTGAAGTTTTTTGATGCTTTGTTCTTTCACAGAGGTACTGTAAGGAGAGGTGACAAAAAGATTTCCAGCTCTCAGCCCTAGTCATGTTCCCTGTCAAATCTGCCAGAATCATTTGTTTGCTCAGAAAATGAAGCAGTAATGGCATATATTACTTAGAATAAATTCAGTTTATTTCAGAAGCAATAAAATATTAAAGTGAAGCTGAGATTTTTTTTTAAAGACACATGGATGTCTCCCCACAAGTCATAGGATTTGTGGTGACTCATAAATTCTTTATGGATTTTTCTTCAATAACTTTGTGTCCTTTTTTGTGAACTTTTCGTTCACAATGTAAACCATCTTTTTTTGGTTTATAACTAATTGGGTTAGTCATCTTTGTACTATAAAAGGTGATATATGAAAAATGTAGATACTAAGTATGGCAAAGGCCTCTGCTTTCACAATCCATTCCCCTAAGGCTTGATGATTGCCTCAGAACTTGAAACAATTGCCTGAGAATTTGCATCTTAGGTCTGTATCCACATTAATTTTGACCATTGCAGATTATGGACTTGAATTTGCAGTGGGGCAAATCCACAAGGCATCCACCGAGCACAGCCATGACCTCTCTAGGTTCAAAGGCTGTCCTAGGCATGGAGCTCCTCTGGGTGACAGCCTAAATTAAACCTTGGTATCTGAATACTAGGTACAACCCTCACCCAAAAAGCAAGGATCACAATCCTTCTGGAAAACTCAGTCCACTGCTCAGGCCAGCTATTTGTTTTTGCGGTAAGTCCTACTCTTGCACTCATATCTCCCCACTACTTCTAAGAGTATGAACAGAGAACATTTTTAATATTTCCGCTCATAAGCCCTCTAAACCCACTGGGATGCTCCAAGGGCTGTGTCTGAGTAGCCAGACACACCCGGTGAAGGTTTTTGCAGAGAGAGTAAGCTCTATACAATTCATTATTAAAAACTCTCAAGCTCTTTCTTTGACCACTGGGAGTGCTCTGATGGTGAGTCTGCTCCTGCTTCCCCATCACTGAGCACTCAGGGACCTGTGGGAGTCCCAAAGGAGCTTGCAGGGTGCAGCAGGTCTAGGTGCAGCCTCGTGCCCAGGGCTCTCTGCCTTGCAGGGGTTGCTGGGTGGCTGTGTCGCTGCTGGTACCCTTCAGATATGTGTAAACTCATCTGTTTTCCTTCCTCACTCTCTCCTCACATAGTTTCTTGTCTGCCTATTGTACACCAGGAAAATGTAAAGAGGACTCTACCTTTTGATTTGTGATAAAAGTAATTCTAAAAATATCTTGAAGAGATTCCCCCTGGCCTTTCTTCCTACCGTATCAAATCCAGAAATCGTATTTTCCTCTTTGCTGAAGAAGACAAATGAATTCATAGCAGAAATCAAATCACTCTTTCACAGGATTACACTCAGAGCAAAAGAAGATGATCAAAAGATTGGAACAATTAGTGTGAGAAATAACATTATGTATAAAATGCTTTCATTTAATGACAAGTAATATGGAAGTGAGTTTATAACAGTTTACATATTTATGAGAGATGTAAACATAAGGAAAACAAGAAAATATTTGTCATAACAAGTTAGAGTTTAATTTACACTTTCAGAATGATATTTTAAATGGAATAATGTATGCTGAATATAATCATGATGCCTATGACATCTCTTCAGCTATACAGTAGTTCACAGGAGTTGCAGCTAAATCCCTTTGCTATTATATGAAAATTTTCAACTGATCTAGAGGAAATACTAAAATATTGATTTAGGAGAACAGTCTTGCATCACTAATGAGGTGGTTTGAATGATTGAGTGGTTGGCGTTGTTTTCTGTCACTGATTCCCAGGATCCAATAGTCTTTGAATTTTACAAGATCTGCAGAGGGCAAACAATTCCAGAGACATAGTTTCTAGTTTTTGTGCTATGCAGTGAGAATAAACAGCAACTGCTGCAACGTATTTCAGCCTTTGTGAGCCTCTGATGGTGTTGCGTCCAATTGCTTTGTAGACTATATTATATTTTAGCCTGATGCTTCTTAGGAAAGAAGAAGTTTCTTAATTCTTTTTTGCACCAGAAGTGCTTTGATAGAGAGGTGCTAATGTTGTTTCTATCAGAGTGGTTGATATGGTTCCAGAGAAAACAATCTGTTAGACCACCTATAGTAAAATTTTTTCCTCAACCCTTCATTTAGAAATTTCTCAGGGCAACACAAGCAGTGGTTAATTCTCAAGCAGCCTACTGAGGTGGGCAAGCCTCGTTTTCCTGGCTAAGCTCCTCAGAAAAAATGTTAAAGCTCTTCCCACTGCTGTATGCACTGGAGTTACTCAGCACATTCCAAAAGCAGCCTATTTGTGAGTGCCTACAAATGGGCTTAGATGCCTTGCATTAGTCTTCTAGATTAGAAAACTGTGCCTTTACACTCCAGCCCAAAGGAATTGGGGGCAAAGTCAGCACTAAAATCTAAAGTATAGCTATTTTTAACTCTACTCCAACTCTTATGCCTGTTTGCTTTTAAACAGGCATCCCCCACTCTACTGCCAGCGGTTTCTTGAAAGGTTTTTCAACAGTACCTACCTGTGTCTCAGCCCAGGTGAAACTTTCATGCTGAATGTGCTCTGGGTAGGTGAGGGAGATGGACCCAGCCTGCAGGTCCACGGGCAGTGATGCTGCCCCAGGGTTTGCACAGACCAAGGCTCTGCCCTCCTCTGTGGCCTGACCATTGCCCACAGCAGTGCAGACCTCCTGCAACCTCATCACACAGCTGGGAGCTGGCACTGCAGCTCCTGAGAGCTTAAGTGTGTCCCTCCCCAGAGGTCTGGCACTGAGAATAGTCTGGAATAGCATTTCACCTGATGGGGAGAGGTGCTGTAATGGAAGAAAAGAGACACAGTACCTGTTGAAGGCTTTCAGAATGTAGTCCTGCTTTGCATTATGAAAGTACTTATACCAGTCAAGATAACACACTAGCACACAATTTGCTATGTAGACTCCAGATATGAGTTGGGAATGATGAGATTAGAAGCAAGAGCATTTTCCAGATAAATGAAGCTCTTACAGTACTAAATACAAATATTTTTACTTTAAATTTTACATGCTTCGTAGAAGGGTATACAGAGGTGATGTGACAGATACATGCATTACAGTCACAGAATATATGAATGTGTGATTATGTGGATTGAAAGTGATAAAGAAAATATATGTAAAAAAGAAGAGAATGTTTTAAAATCAGAAACAGAAAAAGAACAGTAAGAGGCAGGTAACTTAATAGTGGAAAAAATCTTCCCTGACTTACCTCAGTTCACGGGTCTAAGTTAAAATTCAGGAGAGGTTTCAGGCCATCTGCTGATGTAAAGCAGGTTCAGTGCCAAGGAACACCATCTTGGTACAAAGCAATCTGCCTTTTATTATTCTATAGCTTGTGTGAAGTTAGCTTAATTCCTCTAAGGCAACTAAATATGGTATTATTAAATTATCTTAATACAATCATGGTAAACAAATACCCATACTGCTAATATGAAAGCATTTTTCTCTATGTAAGGTAATGAATATATTTATTCCCTGATTCAGAACTCATCTGGCTTTCTGACTTCTGCCTAAAGAAAGCTCCAGGCCGCTTCTTTGAATCTTTTTACTTCTAATGTTTTCTGGAAATCTTTATTTTCTATTAGCATAACCAAATAGAGCAAATGAAGCCCACAGCTATTACTTGCCTATGCTAAGCTCCTTCATGTATTGTTATATTATTCTGGATATCTAACTGTTGTTTCTTGTATTATCTTTTGCTTAGTAATACATGAAGGACTACAGAAAGATTTAAGATTAAATGATAGGACTGCACTTAGCTCACTCCATCTGCTTTTCTTCAGCATTATTTGGGATTTAGGTCAGTTATCTAAGGATTCATATAGCAGATAGGTTTTCTTTGAATCATTAATTCTCACGGGTTCTTTTTCCCACGTCTCTGAAGTGGTTCTTTCATTTATAAGCTCCTGGCGTGCTCAGATAACTTTCTTACATGGCTTGACACAGTATCAAAGTCCATTACTCACTTACCAACCCTAATCTGTCCTCTGGCCTCCCTGTAGTGGAATGAAGCTGAAGCACCAGCCTGTTTGGGAGTCAGCCAAACCCTGGCTAAGGTAAGCTTCGTGCAGAAGGACTTTTAATAAGCAACAAAATCCCCTCATTGGCAAGTTCAGGGCTGGGGGCAAGGATTCCTCTTATGCTCACAAACTCAATACAGGGTGGGGGGTGAAGGGAGAGAAGGAGAAATAGAAAAAACGCAATGAAATTACATACTTCAATACAAATAGCAGTTTGACATAGATTTGGAGTTCTTGGTGTCAAATGTGATTCAAAAGAATTCAGAAGTGGATTCCCTAAATCTTATTCTGTCTCTACATATATACATAAATATATTTCCTTATGCACACAGACATGAAAACCCCCTATGTGCCATAGTCACACTACACGTGGCTGGGGATGTCTAAGTGCAGTAGTCCTTCTGAGGGAGGAGAGCTGTATTGCTTCACCAAAAGGTGTTTAGAGAGAACTTTGAACACGGTAGCGGTAGAGCCATTCCAGCAGTACAAACTTGGGGAAGATGAACCTCCCCTAACTTAAATGAACTCTGTGTAGGTTGAAAAACCTCTTTTCAACACTGCCAAATCTTTGAAGTGAAAATCTGCACGTTGTGAGGGAATGATTGAAGTGTGAAAACCACCTGTCCACGAGAAGCCTATAAAGGATACCCACCTGCTCCGAGCAGTGCGACTGTGTAACACGAGCCATGGCTGTGTGCTGCTTTCTCTTTATAACATGTATTTCTCCAGCCCCAGTGTCAGTATTCAGCTGATGCTGTAGCACTGTGGAGTTGCCTGTCAAATGCAATGCCACAAGACCACCTTGGCTCTGAAAAGTGGCCATGGGACACAGAAGTGGGACAACCAGCTTTGCTGGTGGGCTAGCACAGGGTGAGAGAAGAAAAAGCTTCATAACAGGACCCAAATAAATGTCTTGCGATAAGCAGAGATCAGATATATGAGTGGTGTTGTTTCAGTTGTATGAGCATGGCAAAACACATGGGGAACTTGGTTGGGAAGGGATGTTGACCCAAGTGAAGGTTTCCTCTGTTTTTTGCTCAAGGGAGAGACACCCTCTTTGTTCTGGTTTTGCAAAACTTCTCACAATAGAGTTGGGCCCCTGCAATCCCTTTGGCCAAGGAACCAGCACCTTCCTACACCCATCTCCATAGGCACAAGGCACTTGCAAAGGTCCCATTCAAAACACAAAGATCATGCTGGAGACCTCAGGTTACATTTCCCAAAGTTATGCAAGCCCAGTCTTCTGACTGGCGTTTGTCTCAGTCTATATCAGCTGTTCTCCATCACAGTCACAACCAAGATTTCAGAAAAGTCTAATCAAAATAAAAGCATTGTGGCAGGCTGCTCAGGTTAAGTGATGCCTGAACAGAGACTAAAACAACACTTGGGTAGAGGTACTATTAAGCACTTGTGGTAGATAGACATTTTTTTCTGCAGGGACAAAATGACCCTATATTTTTTTAATTTTTTTTTTTTACTTGTCTATTGGTGAGGGGTTTTTTGGGTTTTCTTTGTTTGTTTGTTTGCTTGTTTGTGCAGGTTTGTTTGTTTTAGGTTGGTTTTTTGATTAATTTTTTTTTTAGTGCCCTCATGCTTCAACTGTTACCGTAAAGCAACCACTGTGTATTTCTAAAATGGAAAGCACACTCTGATATCTGTTTGGGGATTCTGACAATGTGATTGGTTGAATGTTCTGTAACTCCTGAATTGTGAAGGCCCTATAAATATTTTAAAACCCAGGCTGCAGCTACAGCCTGACTGAAATCCATACTGAGACTTCATTTTTCTCACACATGCCTTTGTAGTTGCAATTCTGTCTGTTCTTACTGTTGCAAAACTTAATCAGGAAAAAAAAGGTCACTGCTGGTTTAAACCTACTGTTGAGATGTTTAGTTTAAGTTTGTATTGCATTTGTCACCTTCTTCTTGCACAGTCTTGTAATCTCAGACCATTTTCCCAGACCAATGGGCTATAGATCCCTCTGCAAATCTTTACATTTTCAGGGATTAGTAACACCAAATGTTTATTCTGAGGCTGTGTCTATCTGGAGTGTACAGACCTCTGATAAAAATGGTGCCTCTTCTACCTGCTTTCTTCTTTTGGGGTATGTTAATTGCAGTGTCCTCCATGCCTCAAACCTCAGGCTCCATGAGAAGAATGACAAGGACAGTCCCCTGGACAAGGCATGGCTGGAGAACATGGCCCAGTTCCCTCCTTAGTCACTGGTGCTATAAGTATTTGCTATACCCTGCAAATTGATTATCCCTATTGTTCAAAAAAAAAAAAAAAGGCTATAATAACATTTCCACACTGCACAAGCATCCTGGGAAGATAAAATCCACTGAGGGAAGAGAAGGGTTTAGACACAGCAGTGATTAGGGTTGGATTTGTGCATAGATCAATGACAGTGAAACACCCTTGAATAATCTCTGCCTCAAAGCAAAATTTGGCTTGCCTAATGTTCTCATTTTGTCTTGCTGGGTGACTAAAAGGTTATGATAATCTCAAGGGATCCTGTAATTCATCTAGTAAAACACTGTGTGCAGTAGGGTTACTTTTTCTAGATAAACATGAAGGAAATCAGAGTATCAGGACTCAGTGACTGAAGGAGTTTCCATAAGTTTGGAGTATAAAAGGAATACAGCACCTGTCCCACTGTCATTTTTATGAGGGTCACCAGCAGAGAGGTGAAAGTTAACCCCAACCTATGTGTACCATATCAGTAACAGCAGGACTAACAGAATGAAGTGTAGCTTTTAAAAAAACTACCCTGTAGGATTTAGCATAGTTTTCTCTTTGTCTTACCCATGGTATTCATACCTAGCAACACCTACCAATTATCTATAAATACTTGCTAGAAGGCTTCTAGAATGATCAGGAGTTTAAAAATAGATTTAACTATTAACCTGTATTCTGTGATATATATGTGGCTTTTACTTTTGCAGACCTAGAGCCTTCCACAGTCTTCCAAATCCCGCACTTTTCAAAAAATCAAAAACCCTCAGCTGACTATCTCACTGAGGTATTTCAGAGAGTCACTCCAGTTGTGTCTTGTTTTCTGCACTCTATAATAAGTAACAAGGAATTGTGGTTATGTAATTTGTAAAATTGATCTGCTAACTAAAAGTCTGATTCACTGACAAAGAAAAAGTAAAGGCGAGTGAAATGTCTTCTGTAAAGGTTAAGTGCATAATTTATTTGCAACAGAGGATTGCAGATCTTCCCTGCAAAGTTTTGTATATCTGAGTAACCTTGTGAAAATGAATTTAAAAACCGTAGTTCTTTAGTTAGTGAATTTTCTGAATCCTGTCTGCTGTGGAGGGTCTTTGGGGTAGATTCTCCAATGCCTACTAACATGATTACATTTGACATCTATCAATTCATTCCATATAGATGTTAACTGTCATTTCTTCCCTACCAGGCTGCCCATTTGCACAAAACTTCTGGGACCTCTAATGTATTTGTTGAACTTTACTTCTTTGTCAAATTTTGGTGAGTAGCCACAAGTCCAAAACTGAGCAGGGTGGACACTCATACAGCGTAGTCCCATCAGATTTGTTTCACTTGAAACCCAGGTGTAAAAAATTGGATTAAAAATAAGCAACCAGTGAGGAGTTCTGTGAATCCCATTTCCAATGTTTTTGAGGACACGATGGTGCTCTGCAGGGTCTCAGCAGAGTTGGCATCCACAGCCAGAAGCAAGAGCAGTGAGAGGAGATTTAAGTAACAATTCATAAACTGTTCAGGATTTGCTGTTCAGGATTCTCTGTACAGAGACTGAGAGAGATGGCAAAGGGAAAATTAGAGCAAAACTTTTCTGAGCAGGGAACAACTGCAGGATGAGGTAAAGCTGGAGCTGGCACAGGGTGTTTGCTGTCTTGCTCTGTGCCTTCTGTTTTCTGGGGACATATGAAGAAAGGACATGCAACTCTCTTCTTCCTTATATTCTAGTTTTTCAGGCTTTGGTCACCAAACTGCTTTTCTAAATTATGAAACTGTTGCCTCTGAGGGCACCTGGGCAACATTAGTCTGTATAGTACTCCCCTCTGTAAAACACAGCAAAATTATATCCTGGAAAGAACACAGACTTGATTGCTGCATACAGAAAATCTTGCTCGAATATTTAGCGAGAAATTCATTTGTGTAACTTCTGTATGTGGCATCTTAGTTTTGCAGTTTGTTACACCCATTCTAGAGCACAAATACCCTTCACAAGAGACTTCAAGATGACAGATAAGGCATAAATCTCTAATATTTACAGTCAAAAGGAAGTGAGGCCCATGTGAGATTCAACTAAATAGATATTTGTGTCCCATTTTCAGCAGCCTTCAACCTGTGAGTCTACCAATGGTACTAAATTCAGCAGCACACGACCCTTTCTAGAGAAAGATGAAATGATGTTTAAGCACCCCACCAGTTAATGGATGATTAGCCTGTGCTAATCATTGCTCCATCAAGAAACTTGCTCTCAGTCAAATGGCAAACAATGAGAGATGCTTTAATTGTTCCTAAATTACTTTGTGATAATCAGTCAGCTGCAATCCCAAAGAAGAGAATAAATTGAGGATAATGCCAGTATTTCCTGAAGAAATATTTGTATCCAACAGTGAGCACCTTAAAGAATGTTCATACTCTGCAGTCCTGAATGTGTCTGGGAGGATGTGTGCCTAACCAGAGTCCTCAGTCTTTACTGTGTGCAGTCTGAGGACTTGGCAGCCAAGCACAAATGCCAGAATTCTGACACTTTTTACATCTTGGGTGATGGTTCACAGGTCCTGCAGAGCTGAATCGTACAAAAAGCTTAATTAGGGGAACTTTATGTATTCTGTAGGCTGTGTGACCTCCATTGTAAGGTTAAATCTTGCAACCACAGTTGTCCGTTCCATTTTCCTCCATTTACATTGATGGCTTTATATGTCTGTCAGTTGTTTACTGTTGTAGCAAGGTGCTTGGCAAAATTTGAAACCCACAGAAACAGTGCCATGAATTGTGCCTGCTGGGTCTTAATATACCTAATGGGAATGCAGGGGTGGATTTCAGCGTGGAAGCAAAAAACATCTCTAAAATTGAATGTTTACAGCTAATTCTGTAAATTCATTAAACTTTTTGTGTTTGTGTATTTGAGGGCTTTAGACATAGTTTGATGTTGTTTTATTGTTGATAATGAACCAAAAATTGCTTAGAATCAGAGCACTCCATAATTTCCTTGACAACTTTTCTATTTCTGGCCATGAAAAATAGAATTTTCCAAATCTTCCATGTTAATCCAATGTGTGTTTACTTTATCTACTGCTAAGTGCTATGTGTCAAAAGTAATTTTTTTTTTTTTGTCTAAATGCAGTTACCAATAAAACAGTGTGTGTTCTGGGGTATTCTGGACAGGTAATTGAACAGCTGGCAGTAGTCCTGTCAATGAGTACAAATTGTACCACAAAAGGTAGTCCAGCAGCTTTTCTTCTCTTATTGTAACTTGCACATTGCATCCATTTTTCCCCTCTGTCTAAATCAGGCAGCTGTAAAGCAATTACTGTCAGCATAAATTGAGCAAGCTTGCAAATTGTCTTCAAAGTCATCCAAGAAAACAACTTTATCCTTTAAGGTAACTGAAATATTACATTGATATTATATAGAATTATTCATATAATATATAGGATTTCACTGGGACAAGTTAAGTGCACTTTATGTGTTTTATCTGGATGACTCCTAATGCATGGAAATGTAAATTATTCATAAATTGCCTTTTGGTTATAGGAGCCTTTATATAGCTTTTGTTTGCTAATGCATTTGATAGGCTATTTTGTGCACTAACACATTATATAGATAATGCTGGCAATAAATTAAATGCTAAATTGTACATTCTATAGTACTGCATTAAGAGCTAGTAGAGTCTGCTTCATCATTTTTCCTCTGTTCTACTTCACAAATCTAAAGATAAGTGATACTGTCGAACTATCATCTAATTCATTGAAAACACACTGCCACTGAACTGTTACTGTGTATGCTGATGTAGAACTGGCATTGTTGAACAATTTTTTAAAGCAGTGAAAAGCTAAATTTCTAACATGGAAGCTTCAATATAATACCTAGAGTCCATGTGGGGCTCCCTAAATGTGAACAAATAGAATTTATAGTTATCATCCAAACAAAGTAATTGGTAACAAGCTTGAGTGCTTGCTTGTGAATGTTGAGCTCTAGCCAAAATGATGACCTAACTGGAAAAGAGAAAGGGAAAGGGAAAGGGAAAGGGAAAGGGAAAGGGAAAGGGAAAGGGAAAGGGAAAGGGAAAGGGAAAGGGAAAGTCCAGTCTGAGTCCCTCTTAGTGCCTGGTTTGTCAGTTCTTTTCAAAAAGGTGTTCATCTCTTGGGTTTGTATCTTGCTTCTGGCAACAATCAATATGTAATGTTTTGGAAAAGGGACTAAAGGGGAAAAAAACCCCAAACTGTAATTCATTAAACCAACTGCACAACACTATGAATTCATTCTCAGTGCTCTATGAGCATCTTCGTGAGTTGTCCAGCCTAAGCCAAGTCTGGTCTTAGGTTGCATAAATAAAAAAATAATTTTAATTATGAACTTTTTAAATTAACATTTAATGAACATTTTTAGCATTTAGCTCCAAACTAACTCATCTCAGAACTGCTTTTCCTTGGTTTTTGAAAAAGTAGCAGTCTGAAATACAATTAAAAGCCAAAGAGGGTTTGCAGTGCACATTTTCCCATGTTCATGCAGACCACCAGAATTCTCACTTCCTTAGAACCATTCAGGTTCATTTGTTAAACTTTTCCCATTCCTCTTGTATGAATTCACTTACCTATGATGTAAACAAAAAGGATCCCATTGATAGCATCACACCATTCTTAAGGATCCTCGGTTATCCTCACTTGTGAATTAAGCTTTTAAGCAGTTGAAAAACAGTGAGTGTGTTAACATTTAGTGAGTTAAGATTAACGGTTATTACTTGAAAACTATCCTCCATTGATTTTTTTTCATTTGCTAATGGTTTCTCAGTGGCTGAAAATATTCTCCTTCCCCACTGCATTATCTTTCCTTTTGTAATGGATTTTTATTGCTTCTGATAGCTCAGTTGATTTAAGCATATTCATTCAGAGTAGCTATATTTACCAGAAAAAAATTGCAAGATATTTCTACTTTTGAAAAAGTTATAGATTGTTGATTTTTTTTCGTTTTGATGTTTTGTTTGTTTGTTTTTTTATTTTAGATTGCTTAATTTTTATGTTACCATTTCATACATTTTCTGAGTTTCCAGGGGAGCTGTTGGTTGAAAGTCATCAGAGTATAGTTATTAAACCCTCTTCAATTAAGTGTGTGGAGGGATGAGCAACTTTGGAGGGGATCCAAATCTTCATAAACTTTGTGAATTAGGATATAAGCACCTTTTAAAACATATCGTTATTCAATTAATCTTTAAGATAATGGGAGTCTTGTTTCCATATTACTTCATCTTTACTTTTATGAGTCTACAAAATATTTTCGAGGGCAGTAAAATATACCAAGGATTACTGCTTAAACTCTAGCTTAGAAACCTGTTTCTCCATTATCTTTTGACTCAAGTTGTCTTTTCATACAAGGGAAGATTTAGGAAGAAATACTCCTAAATGATAATTCTCCTTTCACACCACTTGCAGTCTGATGTTACCCCATACTTTTCCCCTGGAGAAGTAGTTATATAGCAAGAGCTGCAGGCTTATATGTTGCACAGCTTCCTGGGGTTAGAAAAGCAATTTCCTAGATATTCCTATTGCTCCAAGAAGTAAGGGGAATGTGTACTTGCCACCTTGTGTTTATCAGCAGAGATTACTCACTGTCTCTTTTTGTGTGCCCCTCATTTGTCCACATTGAAATCAACATGGACTTGATTTGGTTTTTGATTTGGTTTGGGTTGGTTTTTTCCCATTTTCTGCTTATTTCTTCTCTGCTTTCCTTGTTGGGAAAATATTTTACAGAAACCAAGAGCTGAGGATTTCAATTTCTCAAGTTATTTTAAACAGCAGTCAAACCCCAAAAAAGAGCAAATCTAATATCTTCAGAAGTTCTTTCCTGCCAAGCTGTAAATCGCAGCATCTCCCAAATATAGTGTGTAGAATCATTGTTAAGGAGATCAGGCCAATTTGTGCAATTGGTTCTAGAATCCCCTAATTTAATAGAAACATGAAGTAAGTGTGGTCATCCTGAGAAGAAGAGAGAATATTAATGAGGCAATCATAAGATTTGATCTCCAAAAATAATTTGATTAGTTTTTATTTCAACAGGGTGATTAGAAAAAATTACTTTCATTTTACTGATTTCATTTCCTTTAGCCTGTGTAAGGACATAAAAATTAGAAATAAAATGTCTATGTGGAATACTGATTTAGGTATATCTTCTTATGTTCCCTACTTAAATTTTGTGTTCGTCATTATTCTTCATGTATTGCAGTGCTTTAAAGC